GTGGGCGATGGAGACGGCTCGCGCTCGCCCAAGGCCAGTTGAGCAGGCCAATTATCCCATTACAATTTCTAAAGGATTGGCAGCCGGGAGGGAGCGGTCGCGGTGTTGCCATGCACTCCCGTGACAGACACGTGGTGGCGACCGCCCAGCCTCAGACACAACGCACTTGTGGTTGCCCAGTTATGACATATGAGTTGCTCATTGTGATGATGTGATCCTATAGTTATTTTATGCTACAAACAATGCATGACAATATTATACGATTACACGTGCAGAATGAGAATATACAATGACGATTGTACAAAACAATAACACATTCTTTATTAGTACTATTTAAAAAAAAATTAAAGGTATTTATTTCCTTCCTGTATAGCAGACCATTCTTTTTAAGAACATCAACTGAATACTGTATTATTAACATAATGGATATCTATCCTTTCTGTTTAACAAACTGTGACCTTTAACTGATGGCAATTGCAATTTTTTTTTAAATTTTACTAATTATTTTGTCTTAAGGGACTCTGAAATTTGTGAATAAAAATTTTTAGTTATTTATTCGCTGTTTTAAGTTTGAAAGAGGGGGGGGGCAGACTAAAATTATCTTTAGGGAAGCAGGAAATAATTCTGATTTTGGAAGTTTCAAATCCACCAAAGTTAAATGAGCAATTGCAAGGTATGAATTGAAGTTTTAGATTCAAATAATAGACGCAATTTTGATAGGAATTGGCTAATTAGAGCTATTAATTCTTCGCGATGAATTTGATAATACCTACTTCAAGAGTAACAGCAGTAGCAGCGGCAAGAATACAACAAACGCCCACCACAGAAACGAGAAAACGCAATGAATACACCGACCGAACTACAGATGCCATAATGATACATAACCTACAGGAATAAGAGCGCGACGACTAAGAACTATCAATAACTCACGTAGTACTAGATTAGTCCGTTTTTCAATGAGATTTGACAATTGTGTTAAGAAACGGATCATTAGAAATTGAACTTTCCAATTGGATAACGCAGCTCCCACTTCGCGTCGTGGCAGCAGGTATTCTCTTAGACATTTTAATTGGACTGTTTACAGACAGACGTTGGAAAAAAACAACTAAACAGACATTACCTCCCGAAATCTGGCGTAAAGTGGTGCTTGCACTATTGTTTTAAATGACTCTTTTAAGATTATGAAAATTGAATAAATAGCTATAAAAGAAGGGCTTTTGGGAATCTGGATCAAAAACTGGCCACTGACTTTGTGCAAATATAAACATATATTAAATTTTAATTAGAATCAGAAAATTTAAGAATAGAAAAAATACAAACAGATTTGAGTTCAGCTTATGCATGATCACAGAGCACGTAAAGGTCAAACGGCATAATACTTGAAGAGGTAAGTAAGTAAATATTCATTACGACAAAAACACAACTAAAATCCTCCGAAAATACCAAACTTATAGTGCTACAGAATATTAGGAACTTTAATACTAATTAGTCTACTATTACTTTGAGTCGGGGTTAGCTTTTTGGGTTTCCTCCATCATCTTTATATCTGCCATCTATTATAGTCTAAAAGACCTACCAGGGCCTCTTTGCGATAGGTATTACTCCCAGAGCACTACTTCTCATAGGCTGGAGGCCAGCAAGAAAAAAACACAAATGATAGGCTCAAAGCTAAAACGTTTTGAGAAGTTAACCACTGATATAACAGGAAAACGCAACCTATGGTGGTATGCAGTTATCGGCGATGCGTTGCGCAAATTTTTGAATGTGTCGAAAAAAACTATGTCCTTGGGGAATGAGTACACATCTAACTCTTGTTATTTATTGTTCATTAGATAGCCAAAGCGTAACGAAGTTTTATGCCACACTGATGTAGCGTCTCAAATTCTCCGTCATATTGAATTCCTTCATGGATTCTTCAAAGCTATTTTTTGTCTAATGATAGAATTGCTTTCATTGCCACTTATAACCATGCCATGCCATTTCGGCGCTTCTAAGTAGCCGCCATACTTATTCAAAGTCATAACACGTAGTACTTCATTGTACTTGATAGATACAAATAATTCGTATTATTATATTGCAAATATTTATGCGTATATTATACGTATTGTAATTCTGCAAATCGTGCCCAACTAACCTTTCAGCTACCACGTCAAAGACACTCTCCAGCAAAAAGCGCGGGAAATTCGAATACGTAATTTCGAAAGTATTTTCATGGTTTTGAAAAAAAATACATGACCTTCTTTAAAAATACCATTAAAATTTCATTAAGTAAAATACAACTATTAGCCATATGGAAGTTTTGAAATGCTTATTTCATGCAACATATGAAAATATATTCATCCATTTTAAACTTAATTTATGCAGAAATTGTAAGAGCTCATTTGATGAAAGTGCACGTTGAGAAACGATGTAATATTGATTTGTTATGAGCCAAGTTTCAATTTTCTTACTTACATATTATTCAGTGTTAAAATATGGAATTTATTTTAAACACTAATTTTGTTCGACGTATTTGCTGCACTGGACATAGTATTAATATAGGAATAATTCATATTAATGTCATTGATTAAAACGAAAAGAAATAAGAAATTTCAGTTCATTTTTTAGCAATAACGTAGAAGGGAATATTTTATACCGAAGTTGCGAAAATCTTTTAGTCGTACTACTAAACCACAATGTGTGGGGTTAAATAAACTGCTATACATCAATAATCATTTAAATTATGAATTCACAACATCGCAAAATTTTTTTTTAGACCTGTAGGACTCGGCATTCAAAATTCACTTACACAGCATGGCTCCCCTGTTTTAACTCCCTTAAAAATTAAATTTTTTCTAATTCAAAAACCTGTCTTTGGAAAATACGTTTTAGTAAGGAACAATCTTATCAATATTGTAGTTGTAGGAAAACGAAAATGGAAATTTTGTAATTTTTAAAAATATAGATTTCAGCAAAAATGGCACATTTATTTATGCGTCATTTCTCTATTTAAGAAAAAAAATAATCAAAAAATTGAAACCATTTTCCCAATTGTTGTCAGTTTTGCAGTCCAATTAAACAACAGTCCTTATGAAGCCTTATCACCCCACCCAACTTTCGGATCGCCTGGCCATTATTTTATATTTATCCTCTTTAAATTATATTTGATGACCTTAAATACATGGCCTTCCCTGTAAGGTAATGTTCTATCAAGGTAACCAGAATATTTCACCAGTTCTGGCACTTTGTTGAGAACGAACGGGAGCGATACTAGAGCTGTTATCGAGGTGTGATCTGCGGATCGGGAAAAGACAACGACGGATGACGAATGCTGGAGGTGTCACCGGATCTGAGGACACCCTTTACCGCTCAAGCGATCCTATTGAACTTCTTAAACGCATTGTTTATTCCACTTTCGATGGAGAGGATAGATGAATTATGCATACAAACTAGTATGGCATAGAAACGGAAAGTTAATTAAAATTCAATTTGACTGATCAAGATTGTTTGTTTTGGACAAACTCTGTATTTCAATATCGTGAACTGTTTACAAGTTATGAGTCTGGTCCATACTTAATGGGACACCTGATATATTTTCTCGCTACCTACGCCTTTATTTGTAAACCAACATTGGATATTATTAGTAAGGAATATCATGTCTAAATGAACTGTATTGCACTGATTTTGATCGCAAAACCTTCTAATTATTCTGAAATATGAAAACCAAAGCTGGGATGCCAATCTGAATGATGAAGCTCTACAAAATGACTCCTACTTAAACTAAACTGAGATTCTAAACAAAGGCGCATCTTATAGACTAGACTTGCTCTCGTGGGCGGTGCACTTCGTGTGCAATGGGCCATTGCTTATCTGCTGGGAATGAGTGTGGCCCCATGCCTGAGGCTGCCAGACGGGAGGGGAGATGTTGGGTTGGCGCGAACGGCTCTAGTCTAGTGAAAGGCGAACTACACACGGGTAATTGCAACGGATCAACGCGTGCAGTCGGGTCCCAGTTATTACATTTGACTAACTCTGTCCTAAGCGATCAAGAGGCAGAATTATCCACTAAAAGCATCTCCAACCTTCCAAATGAAATGAAGTATGTTAATAATTTTTTCTTCTTTCACCTACTCTATTTTCGACTCAATCAATTTTCTTTTTACACGTAACTTCAAAACAATCTATGTGCATGAGAAAGTATTACTTTTTGACTAACAAGTAAGTACCGTAATTTTGAATGTCCATTTGTTTTACATTTGATGTCCGACCCGCTATCAATGACCTCAGAATGTATATAAATACTTTTTTAGCGCATTTATGAATGGTCCGTAGAAATTGTATGGGCAGTCGGGATACCAATTTCTGAAAGCATTGCTTATTTTGAAAGCGATTTTAAGAAAACCTGAACTGGTATCAAAAATAATTAGGGGTTTTCTAGTATTAATTTCAACAAAGTTGTAATTCAGTTGCAGAGTATTGAAACGATTCGATAACATTATTAGAGTACTTTGGAGTCATTGTAGTATGTTTATGCTCGTCTTCTTTTACATTTTCTAATATCCTTTATTTTTTAAATGAGACCTTACATTGAAATATATTTCCTGAGCATAGCCATACTACGCTCCCCTTTTAACGCGATCTTCTTCAGAAACAGTTGGTGGTTGTATAAAAACAGTCCACTGAGGTTTTTGTATGAAACGTGCAGGGAGGATATGTAGTGTGCAATCTTGACGTTTCTTGTACTTGTGCAGTAAAACATACAGTGAAAATGTCCTTGATTTGTGAGCAATACAACACAAAGACAGCCATTGACACTACAGTAATATGTACCAAATTTCTTTATGCATGGCGGTTTGAGAGTTCACTAAACATTAATGTAGTAACATAAAACTGCTGTAGAGTAACTATCTTGCACTAGCTGGAATATTGCCGCATTTTGAGACTAAACTGAATATTTTAGCGTAAAATACTGAGGAAATGAGAGCAAAAATTGTCTGATGAGGGATATTCGCTTCTTCCAGATTAGGTATCACATAATTTTGAATATTTATTGAAAGAAGCGGCAGTAACAGGGTTAGCAGTACGACTCTCTTATAAATTTTATTTCAAAATACTTTTTGACGAAGTCACATTTGACCTTTCGCTGAGCGTGCAGAATTTTATGTCGAGGCTCCGGCCTATATGATTATCATAAAACATCCTTGAGCCTGTTTAATGCATAATTTCAAACGCATTTCACACAAAATTCTAATTTGATTGACGAAATAGAATGCCTTCGTTCTCATCGCTCATTCACCGTTTTTGATCACCGCCTAGTGAACGATCACGCAATATACAATGAATGGGACTCATACTGATAACCCTGATGCAGCCTGAGAAGCTATTTAAGAGTTTATACGAATTAACGGCTTTGTTATAACCTTCTAGTATGTTCCTATTTGTTTCTTGAACACAGTCGTCAAAAATTTGCCATAGTGATATAAAACAGACTCCTTCCGACCGTAGCTGTGCATAAAGGTGTTTGGTAGTTGGTAAAAGCAATGAAAATAGTGAAATAACAAAAATATACAGTTAAAAAGGCATGCATGGTAAATATTTAAGAATAAAATACAGACCTGATCATCAATAGTTTGTCACACTAGGAAAAATCACTTTTAATGAAAAAGAGCTGGAAAACGTTTATCGTGAAAGAGATAAAGCAGACATTTGGCAATGAGATTAACTTTGTACATGAAAGTAATAATTAACTATAAAAACCAAGGTTATGATTTTATAATTAAAATATATGCATTATTTAAAAAAATATTATTTTCAAACAACGCTAAATTATTAGACCGAGCCACAAAGCACGTTTTGTGACCCTCAGAAATTGAGGTCTCTTGTACGATATCGACACTGCACTCGCACACGCACACACGTACAACTTCGTGAAAGACACAGCGCATGAGAAAGGATATGGCCACTCGATGATGAAGCGTGTGTACCGGCGTATGGGGTTGTCCTCACTGAGAAAAAACAGTGAGGTTGGCCCCTTGTTGCCGGGGGGGCCTTGTTGCGGGTGCGGGCCCATGCCGTGGCCGGGAGCAGGCGAGCAGTCACGACCACACCGCTGCTGAGCGACCGCCTCCTGCGCTGCTGCCAACCTGCGAACAGAAAAGAACGTCGTCACTAACCGATCTGCAATAACGGAACAAAGCAGAGAAATCCAATCCATACGAAACATATTTGTCTATCCATTTCAAAATCAAGAAAAATTGAATGAAAAATCTTAATACAATCAATAAAGTTTATTAATTTAGTATTATTACAACAAATATACAGTTACAACATATCAATTTATTACCAAAATTTCATTGAAGGGGTTGCAGATGAAAATACTGTATGATTTACATTTTATATCAAAATATTTCTTGCAAACACATATCATGAGGTCTCATACAAAGACAATGATCTTATTTTAGTCAGTGCGATGAAGCTAAAGCTAACATTGGTCAGATGTAGTTCGAAATTATTCGTTTATCGCCATTTATTATCTCGTCAGTTCTCCACTCTTCAGTTATCACATTATTATTCATTATTATTCAGCCCGGCAACTTCAGTTCTGATTATTGTTTATCAGAACACACACAGTCCAAAACAAGGAGAATTAATACAAATTTGCAAATGGCTTTTATTATACGTTGTTATTGTCTACCGGGTCTGTACTTGCAACTGTGGTAACATTGTCAATAGATCTTAAAATGAAATGCTCAATTTACTCAAAACTGAAAGAAAACTTAATGCTGAAGGTGACTGAAATTGTCTGATATAGTGAATGTGGTTGCGAGTTAGCATTTGAAGCTTCATAGACAGGGAGGGTTTTAGTTCGATCTGTTAATGATGGCTAGATTTTCGACATTTGATGATATTTATCAACACGATGGTTCACGAAAGTCTTTCGAACTCCAACAGCTGTGTGTCATCATGATCCACGAAAAACACTCAACGATCGAGATGCTGGAAGAGACGCAGTAGAAAGGCTACACATTATTTTATTTTAAACACCAGAGCCATATAACAACCCCATTCTTGTTACCGTTTCACCCCATTAGTGAACCTTGCTTTAAGTCAACTGTGAATGCTCGTGATCTCCCCTTCACTCGTGAACTAGAAAAAATCTACTTTTCATTCATGAAGTTTAAACTATAAAAAATCTCTCGGTAATATTCAAAATGAGACTGGCAATCACTTCCTGACCCTTTACTGAAGAGTATTATATTTTGTGCTCGAAACTACTGTTTTTTCATATAACCAAAGATAGTTTATTAAATTATTAAACGCAAACAATGTTCAGTGTAACAGGCATGTCAAGGTTGATGGGAAGGTAAGAAGCTTACTAAGAGTTCGCAGACTCTCCGTTAACGAAAACTGACCAATATTTAAAAGTAAGAGTTGTACAAATTGATCAAAGTTGGCGGATTGTCAAAGGATTCCTGACTTTTTAGCAAATGTCAATTGACATTAGTTGCCCCCAAAGCAACACAAATTCACATTCACTTCAATAAAGCAAAGAAATGTCCCATTAAAATTATATATTTCAGTAATTTTTGTCAATTGAGAGTAAAATTAAACATTTTGAATCAAAAAGAACTTGATTTTGTAATTAAATTTAGCCATGAGTGCTATCTTCTGTAGGTTAGTAGATATGAGAAACGTTCTTGTCTGCTGCTAAAAAAGTTGTGCACTCAGAACAGACTTGTTAATTTTGTTTTGTATTATTGTTACATAAAACAAATTTGATAATTATTTAATAAAGCATGACAGAAAATGAAAACAAACGTTTCCTATATAAATATACTTTCTTTCTTTGGCAAACATGTTTATAAAAGGCAGAATTCTAAAATAATTCATTAGGTTGTGTGATAGAAAATATCTGGTAAAAATATTTTCACATGAAGCCATCATTCCTCGTGATATTTCGAATAAACTTTGCACTTACATTCTGCGTTTAACGTTGCAAGTGTACACACATTTCTGGATTTTTAGGGAAAATGAGACGACACCGCTCTCATTTCCCCTCTATATTTAGAGAGATATATAAAGTGGAAAGTCTAGCGGGAACGCTGAGCACAAGGCGCGCGCGAAATACGATTAGTTGCTTATACTAAAGTAAGACTGCTTATGTTTTGTGGCTAAAATTTGAGACTGAATTATATTTGTATTCCTTATTACTTCATGTTTATTAAATTTTCCAATGCTTTCTTGTATAATTAAGAAATAAGAATAGATTTGAATAGAAATGTTTTGCCTGTTTTCGGTTTATGTTGTTTATTAAATTATCCTTTGTTTGTAGTATACAGAATGTATCACCTATGTTTCCTACAGCGAATATTTTTGAAACGATTTGAGATATCAGGATGTAATTTACGCCAAGTTGTTGGAGGTGAAAGGGAAAATGAAATTTTTCGTTTTATTGTTATAACATTTTTTAAATTCGAATTTAGAACATTAAAAAAACAAAATATAGTATTAGAAAATTTTGAAAATAGTGCATGTGATTTGTTGACAAAATCATGATACAGAAATTTTTCAATAAGAAAAACTTGAAACAAAGAATACTAAGTGATAAACTGTAACGAATACAATCTGGATTAAGATACGAATTGTCCTTATTTCCTTGCCAAACTTTTCAAAGAAAAGCAGCCCCAATATTACTTTCTTGTCTACGTCGTGTCCGTTGGTCTGCCTGTCCGTTGGTCAGTCTGTCCGTCGGTCTGACTGACTGTCGGCGTGAGTGCCCGACGGTTTGCCTGCCCGTCTGACTGTCGTCCATTTGACTGACCTTCCGTACATATTTACGTAGACAAGGTATGGTATTGTAATGCTGCAGCGGAAATTTAGAGTTTACCATTAGAAATTCTCTTACAGAGGAGCCCTCATATGGAAAAAAGGGGATAAATCTTGTTCCTGTGTGTAGTAAATTATTTCCTATACACTGCTGTATAGGAAACGCACGATTTGTGGGTCCTTGAACAGTCTTAAATATAAATAAGTTGAAGGACAGAGGAGAGGCAACGATGAGGAAGGAAAGAGCGCGTGTAAATGCCCAAGAAGTACCCTAACAAATGGAATACGACAGTGGCTCACTCCTTGTCATGTTAGCCCTGCAGAAGGGGAGAGGGGTCGGGCGCTTTCACTCTAGTACACTGAAGACGACTGGCACGCCAGCAAATGAAACGGGCCACCAGAGGTGGTCTGCTCCAAATTTTTCTAATTGAGCAGCTCCGCACTACACTACCACACATGTCAGAAGGGTCTTAGAATTTGCCCTGCGGCGGAAAATGCACAGCTAGAGGCTATAAGACGGAGGAATCCTAGAAGGGAAATCCCTGCGTGCCGACGAGCAGATCGACGCCGGACCTCACGTTTCCGGGTTTGGAACACCGCCCCCTCCCAGGATACAACATTCTCTATAGTAGCGGACTACGGAACGACGTAGTTTTGACGTGTCCGGAATCAATACTCTCTCTCTCTCTCTGTCTCTCCCTCTGTCTCTCTCTGTCTCTCCCTCTATCTCTCCCTCTCTCTCCCCCTGTCTCTCCCTCTGTCTCTCCCTCTGTCTCTCCCTGTCTCTCCCTCTGTCTCTCCCTCTGTCTCTCCCTCTGTCTCTCCCTCTGTCTCTCCCTCTGTCTCTTCCTCTGTCTCTCCCTCTGTCTCTCCCTCTGTCTCGCTCTGTCTCGCTCTGTCTCGCTCTCTCTCTCTCTCTCTCTCTCTCTCAAGAAGTTTATTCTTATGTATTCCGGTTTTGGAATTAATTCACAATTGATTAGAGAAGCCTTTTGGAAAAAGGAAATAATACCATAATATATTGAAACAGTTTGCTTGCAGATATTTTTGAACTTTTCCTCGTAATGTGGGTAGTTTTAGAAATGTTAGAATTAAATTAGAAATTATGAAAGATAGAGTAGAGTTAAAACTTAAATAGTACGCTTGAAGAAGCGTAATGCAGGTTTATGTAATACTGATGGGTGTAAAATGAAATGGGAATTAAAATTATTTTAGTAATTGTTTTTTCTAATATTGTAACTATTTGTTTTAAAATTATTCACACTGAGTTGTTTTCAATTAAAGTCGAATACATCTTATCTTATTTTAAGTTTTCGTTGAAATAAATGATTGATTCATTTAAAGGGCAGCTTGTGTAAATCTTCTGCTCTGGTCTCTTTGTTTGAAAGGTCGAAGGTCAGTGGTCAAGGTAATCTCACGGTTTTTTTCAGAATGTTTGTCTTGAGAACTTACTGTTGATAGTCTAAATGTATCATTGGCGGACAAGATAACTAAATTTCTTTCAGTAATGGCAACAGTTGTACTACTTTCAAAGTAAATTTATTTGCGAATATAAAAAGTAGAAACTCTGACTCTTCTCTCTTGACTTTGACTCTTTTCGAAATGTTATTTTCTCAAAATGTTTATTCAATTAAAAATTCAGGTGATGAAAAAAGATTCAATATCTCTTAACGTAAAGAATGCCTGGCACAATTTCATTCAAGATTTTAATTTTAGGAACAATGAAACATGAAATTAACTTTTGGAGCATTTACTTTCATCCACTTAGGTAAATAAATTCCAAAATAATCTTAGGGTAGTTAGAAATATTCATCAATTTGTGTAATTGTTTTGTGATAATTAAATCACTAAATTCTGTTAATCATATGACATTCTAAACAACGTTATTAATTATAATTTCTTTACAAAAATATTACATATGCCTCATGTTTGACAATTACAACAGAATATTCTTTCTTGACCTATTGAAAATAGTTGCATATTGTTCAAATATTACAAGCACCTCAGCTATAAATTGAAAAAATTCAATTCAACAAGTTCAATTCAAGTTCAACTTGCGCATGTATTTCGATTGTCAGGAACAGTAGTCTTTTCTTATTTTTACGAATAAAACAAATATGAATTAACTTAAATAATACAGTATTTTCAGCTTCTAATACAGAAAAGCAAGAATAATGTTATACAAGCCTGCTCTGATTACAATGAAGTGAACTTTCAATTTGTGAATATCATAATCAGATAACAGAGTTTCTTAAATTAAAGAGTGTTTGTTATTTTAAGGGAAATTTACAACCTTCAATACATTTCCTTTCACAAGAATCTATCTATCATACATTCATCACGACCAACCACAATGTGAGGAATTCGAAAAATTTTGTAATCAGTGTGTTGTTCATGTAAATAGGGGCAAGATTAAAAGAAGATTAACGCAAGATTAAAACATCGGTTTCGAATATATGAGTCCATGATATTAGCCAAATCGATTGAGTAATATTTGATGGTTTTGGTGAAAATGCTTCTAACGTTTTAGCCACTAACGTTGTTCACAGACGGATGGACGGACGGACAAACGTTTCGCTCTCAATTGATGTTTTGGAATCATGGACCCACATGGATTCTGACTACACAACATGTTGAGGGAAGTACATAGGGACAAGATTTGTCAACTTTTTCGTTACCAGAGCCTAGAAATAAGAGTGTTACTGTCAAAAATTCGCCGTTTTTTGACGCAGTATTACAATACTTTCTCTATATTGCATAAGCAGTAACGGGAAAGTAATATCATTGTATTTCATGGGCTTACGAATTATCTATTTTGTGAGCCAAAAAGTTCTCTAAACACCTAAAACAGTAGTTCTTTAGACAGAAAATATGTTTTTGTGTAAATAGAAATGCATCAATACAGAAAAAAAACATTAGGAATAATATATATATATATATATATATATATATATATATATATATATATATATATATATAAAAGATTTATTTAATTTGAGTAAACACACTCGTACATTCTCCACATTTTCCCGGATAATCTGAAACACTTGCACTTTAATGAGTTTTTTCATAAATTATATTTTCCTCGAAGGTGTAAGTTCGATATTTTAGCACAAAAATATTCACACGTAAAGCTGATTCTTATCCAAGACACTGCAGCATATTTATGTGATTTTTTGATAGGAGTTTTCCTGCCCTCAATCTGCTTGTGATTTATCAGTTAATTATTCGGCCGTATTCTTCAGACGCAAGGTGACTGACCTATTGATCGAAAACTCGAGGCTAAACTACTGGCGTGAACGTTCTAAAAATATATTACCTAGAATTTGATGCTAAAAATAAATGTTGAATGTAACAATAACGATAAGATTAATATTAACAAACGGGAAGAAATTAGGGATAAAAACCTAATTAGTTTAGTTATTGAGGGTCGTTTTAAATACAAACTTACAGAAAGGAAAATACTAAATAAACCTTTTGAGTTTGCATAATAAGTTTACATAGTTTTTCTGTCCGTCTCAAAAATTATTGTGGTTCTTTCTCTTTCATTTCTCATGAAGTTTCTCGAAAACTTAAAAAGTTTCTGTGAAAATGAGCTGAAAATCGACTATGTTTAGAAGCTCTCAATCGACATATTCTCAAAAACGGTTCCAATTTTGTCAATGCAAATATGCTTATTGAACATAGTTTCACTCTTCTCTAATTCTTAATATTTTAATTCCACCATTAGGGGACGGAAAATTTGGACAACCGTGTTTTGTGCTGATCTATAGCTAGGAAGAGGGTGAAAAAACGAAAAGCTACCCATTAAAGAAAAATAACTAATGCAAGAAAGTCTATGCTATTCTGTAGCACCACTAGTTTGAAAATATTTAATTATCTCATCGAGGGAAGCTATTTATATTGTTCATCGCCATCAGAAATAATAACGTTGGCCAACAGACGAATTATTTCGGGAATTAAATTACTTCTGTTTAATTTTATGCTTCTTCTTATGAATATTGCAGTAATCACATTGAACATTATTTCAATGGTCTCATTTTCAAAATACAGACGAAAAATGTTTAAGCATCTTCAAACTGAAATTTTCCTTTGCCCTTGAGGAATTTTTGTGTCTTTTGGGAAGCTTTCTAGAAGAGAGTCCTTTCGGCGGGACAACAGGATGTATGACTATGAAGGACTGGTGTTACTCTCCAGAGACATGTCAGCAAGTCAATTTAGTGTCAAAATATGCAGATGACAAATTTTTGTGTGGAATTTTTGTAGTCCTAGTGTGATAGTGCTTGCTGTTTATAGATACTAAAAGAAACATATCAATAATTAATTTCATATTGTTAATATATAACAAAGCCACATGGTAATTAAAAATTACCAGAACATTTTGTGGATGTCAGAAAGTGGGGTTTACACTGCAAAGGCAAAAAATTACGCCGTTAACAAGAATATTTTTTAATTTTATTTTGGATGTAATATACAAGGAAAACAAGACAAGAGTATGGTGACTCTGTGGCTGCCCTACATGTTCTGAAATTTGTTGCGTGATTCAAAGGAAAATGAAGGGTTAGTCCTTTTCCATACCAATGGTTTGGAGAGAACCAAGCGATCTCTGTAAATTAGGTTACACTGTGGTCTTCTATTTACACAAATGGTGCCCATCTGCAAATTCTTTCTTAAAACAAAATATTGACCCTGAATCATCAGAATCTTTCTTCAGCTATTCGTTCAGAACCTCAATTTGGTTTCTCCCTTTCCAGTATCACTAGAGCTCTCTAGTATCTTTTATGAAATGAAGTGTAGTACATATACGTAGTACATCATCTACAACATTTTTTTTGTATCAATTACATTGCAGAGCTCAGATTTTCGCAAGCAACCTCAAATAATATACACAACGTAATTGAAGGACAGTTGAATCATCTTGTAAAATATTTAGAACTTTCGAAGCCTAGATGAGAACTTCTACTTTTCCGAATGTAACGCTAGAAATGCATCGTCAAAAACGAACGTTTATCCATCTATAAAGATCGCCACATTTTGGAGTTATATGTGGGAATTAGGGCACTTCGTATTTTAATGTTTTGAGTTAATCTGCTTTAAATAATATAGTATATTTGAACGCGTGCAAATGTATAGCATTATCTATGATACCAATTTAAATGTGTAATTAAATGATGTTTCTCGAAGTGATAAAACTCTCGTAATCTCTTACGGAGTAAAAAACATGTTATAAGATAGCAATACTGTAAATTTAATTGAGAAAGGAAATTAAACGTGTGCCTTAGTCTGATATAACTTCTAAACAAACATATTAATTTATGAAGCACCAAAGACTTTATCTTTACCGAGAGTCGAGGTTGCACGCGACGTCTCTTAACTCCACGACTTCACAGAGGGAGATGGTAGCTGTGAATGCGGTCTTAAAAACATCGACTTCTTTGCTTTTTGACTCAGCATATTAAAAATTTACATTTAAATTTTGTGTAAGAAAGCACACAAGAAATAAAATTACTAACGAAGATACAACACATTTCTGGGTGATTTTCTGGGTGATCCCGATGTTTTCTGGATTGCGGTAGTATGCGAAGTGTCTCCCTGAAGTGTCTCCCTTCTCGGGAGTTTTGCTCGCAGTGTTGCGGTCGTCCAGTGCACAGATATCGGGTATAAAATCTACCGGGATGTTAGGACAGGGCTCGAACTAATATATAGTGCCATCAGAGAAAAAATATTTTTTTTAAGAATTTTCAATGACGCATCCACTAGATAACATTCTGCTGCTTCAGCCAACTAGTATGTTATAGTATAATACTATTAGCATAATACATTGACTTAATATATTTGTAACATTCTAATATACTCATCCCTACAGTCAGTCTACCAATCGTAAACACATACGTCGAGAAGATAATCACCCACCATGAGAGACCAAGTAGTGCAGTGGATTGTAGTAAAGACATTGTTATTCTTTTATCATAATTGACAATCATACATCACTTGAGGGGGCTTGTATTATCTAGAAGAGTTCATTGAATTCAATTAAGCTCAGATTAGCATTGTTTTATCTGCAAATGTCTGTGGCCTTCACCTAGAAATCTGTTGACATACCTTTCATTCTTCTCTTCGATGGATTTGGAGTTCTTTTTCATGATCGTTTACGTACTGCATCAAACATCAATTTTTGTTTATTTTTATTTTATCTGATTCTTCATACTTTATACAAGTATTTCTAACTACAATATTTCTTCACGTTGCAGAATGCGTCCTATAAGTTCTGTTCTTCTCTTCATTTGTTACTATTTTAATAAATAATTATCAAAATATTTATAGTTAAGGTCTGAGGTTTAAGTCCGATCGACATATTTTCCGCTTTATGGAGAGGCAAATCAGAACACAACAAACGAGTGAATCTTGGACAGAATTGTTGTTCAATATTTGTTATAAAAACTACCTGAAGTTACAAAAACAACAAAAATTTAAACTAATAAAAATATTTGTGAAAACATAACATGAAAAAATTACTGTCTCAATAACTGTCAGGGTTTAATGGAACTATTGACCGAACTACCAGCAGTTATTTCATACTACTTGAATTAAATGAAGAAAACTGCCGTCATGATAATTTTACAAGTAATGTTGACAGTACAAATACCTACAAAGGCAATATTTCACTGGTAGTTTGGCGTTTGCCTAGTGTATGAAAATGCTGTAGTCATATTAGTACCACACATATATTTTATAGCCGGCCTGGATAGCCGAAGTGGCTAAGAGTGTGGTGCGACTCAGTGCTTTGATCTAAAAGGTCGCGGATTTGAGTCCCGCCTTGAACATGGTTGTTGGTCCCTTATCTATTGATATGTGTGTTGTCACGGAGGGTCTCGTGTTCTGCTAACTCCAGAGCAGAGGAGCCCATAAGTGTGTTGGTGGTGCCTAATATATGGTCGAATAAACGTCCCATCGGGGCGTAAAGGGTAACCGGCTATAAGCTGGATAAGAGCCCTAGGAAAAAAAACATACGGAAATGATGAAGTCATTAATACCACTTAAATATACCACACGCATTTCCCTATGACTGCATCAAAAATGACTGAATAATTCGATATGATGGATATTTTACGAATAGTACTGCATGGACACAGCACAAACCGTCATTTCCTCGGAACGCAATGCGCGTGCGTGGCTCCGGCGGGTGGCGCGACCGAGTGCCGGGCCGGCACGGCGTTTGTACGTCCACGTGGCGGTTGGTAACCTTGCGCCTCTGTCGGGCGGCGGACGTACCAACCGTCTCCGGCGAGGAAGGGGGAGCTCTCCGGCGCGACCGCTACCCCCTTCCCCCTCGGGTGCGCAACTGAGCGTGCGTCATTCGATCACCGTGTGGGGGCGCTCGTTCCAGTAATGAACGAACTCCCTGGCCCCTGGCGGAAGAACGGGTAGTTAGCCCGCATGTAAAGCGAATCACGCGGCAGCAACCAAAGGCGGCTTCAGGAAATATTTCAGAGTGAGGAGCATTATAAACAAATGAAGGGAGCACTCTATAAAAAAGTGGATTAATTTGTGGTCATTATTTAATTTATGGGTACGGGTAGTTTCAATTTTTGTATGATTATTTGTCTTAAAATGGAAATAGATTAGGATTTAGTCCAAAAAGTTCAGGTTGAGATATCGGTAGTAAACTCCGTTTTGAGGTTTTCTGGGTCGACAAAAGTGTTTTATTCCTTGAAGGCTGCCAATTGCTGGAACGGATATATGTATGTTACTTGTGGCTCGGACAGATCACAAGCTTTTTAACTCTAACTTCAGACGCAGGGTCTCTTAGTGCGTTTACAAAAATATTTAAGTTTGATTCAGAAGAAATACACACAGTATTGTACAAAAAGAACATTGCAAAATCATAAAAATTGCTATTTTCGCCTAAAGAATGGAAACTGAGGCAATGGAACAAGACCTTATTCTGGAACCTTTGACCCCATACCTTCGGAATTGCACGGTTAGTATGATTTATAAAGGTACGACACTCTGATAGGAAATAAATATTACGTTTTAATATCAAAATCGAAAAATTCCGGAAATTTTTCAGTTTAACGTATCCACCGTAGTAGCGAGGTACGTAGGATCGGTGGCAGGCCGGTTCTAACTGCCCCCTCTTCATATTCTATCAATAACCAAGCCCACACAATGGACTTCGGGAAATAAAATGGAGAGACGTGTGCTGATTTTTAAATGAAAAGTGCCCTAAACCGTAAAATTCTGAGATGTTACCAAACCTATAGTAGCGGAGACAGTGGGATCGTCCTGAATGGAGGATGAGATGATACAATGTGTCCACGGAAGTCGCTAGATCTTGTTGCGGTACTGTTCATGGATATCTTATTATACTAATGACATGTGATACCTTCGAACTAGTTTGTACCTAAATTATCAAAATACCTAAACTGTCCCGTTTCTGCCAAATAATTGTGTATGTCAGAAGACAAGGGTAGGTTTTGGAATGCCATACCTCTCCACGTTTAATTTATATGCAATTTAAAATATAAGACATTTGTATGGTATTTATATAAATCTTCTAGTTATACTTTTACTACTAAAAATTTCCTCGGAGTCAACCTTTACAATACATTTTGAAAATACTTAATTGTTAATATAATTTAATAAATGCACAGAGAATATATCATTTAGAAGCATATCTATAAGTGTTTATCTTTTTATATTTAAAACAGATATACCTACATCTAATAAAGGAAGCATAATCCGCTTCAGGGGCTGTCCAATGAAACAGCGCAGTAGAAAAGCTTAGAAAAGTGCATTCATTCGCCGCGCATGTTTACGCATGAAAGGCGTTGTGTACATTCTAAAACAAAATGAATTCTTTTCGAAAAACGTCGTTGACAAATTCATATCATAGATGCGCAAAGCTCAGAATCCAAAAGTAAATGACGCAAGGTTTATTTACTTCGTTCATAAAATAGCATCAGGTGGCAACCGGAAATGTTTAAATTTTAACATCGTGATGCAAGATGTCTATACTTTTATCATTATCCTTATAAAATATATTGGGTAAGGCAGAACGAGTACATCTACCTGTTATTCACTATATTTATTGAGTGTACATTACTTAGTTATACATAGTTATACTATTTTAATTATGCAGTTATGTTGCAAGTTCATAACAATGCAATTTACACATTATCAATAAATGAAATTATTTCATTTAAAAGCATATGAAGCAATAATAAACTATTCTTCAGAAGTGAAATAAAGTGCAGTAGATACTCGTAAGATATTTATTAAATAATAAAAAGGGAAGTGATTTGTATACATTACGAAGTAAAATTTAATTCGTTTGAAAAATCATTGCATTCATCGAATCTTCAATGAAACAAGATTTTGAAATCAAAGGAAACATTTGAACATGTTTAAATACAAATATTTTAGTATTATAAGAAAAAATATAATCATAACATTCAATATATTTTTATGTAAAGATGATTTATTAGAACGATCACTACGAGATGCCGATTTTTTGGGGCAATTGAATGTATGGTTTGCAGTTAGCTACTCGTACAACAGACCCTTGCTCTGGAAGTGAGAATTTGTTACATATATTAAGCTTTTTTCTTTTGTTTTGTCAATATGCACTGGGACCTTTACGAAGGTATCCTACTCTGGCGAGAGGGCGCGTGGATGCCCTGCGCGTTGGGCGGGAGGGAAGGGGGCTGGAGGGGCGGGGCGGGGCGAAGGGGGCGCCGCCGCATGTGCGGAGGTCCCGGGCCTTCTCCGCGAGCGCTCTCCTGGGGAGGAAGGGCGCCTGTGGCGCAGTTCCTTCCTGCCACCCGCCTCGCCCCGCCGCCCCGCCCCCGCCGCGCGCCCCGCCCGCCACGCTCCGGACCCGCACAGCAGTTGGCACCCGCTGCAGCCTCTTTGCTTGCCACCCGATTCTATTGATCGACGGGGCCGGGTGACCGCCCCGCGGTCGGTGCGTGCAGCCGCGCGCCGGCGCAAAAGCACTTGCGTCGCAGCCGCAGCCGCCGGGCGCCTCCGCCTCCGCCGTTCCCGCCGGCACGCAGCTCCGAACCAGGCCCGGCGGCGGCGACGGCGGCGGCAGCGGCGCCGGGCGCCAGCGGGGGGAGGCGGAGCGGGGCGGGAGGGACGGAGCACGCGCCCGGGGGAGACGCGCCGCCGAACGCGCAGAGGGATGGGGCGGCGCGGCCGGGGGAAGCGCGGGGGCGGGCGGAGCGGAGGCGGAAGATGGGAAGCCGCTCTACGTCAACCGGACGCTCCGCGGTACTAGGCAGCGCGGGGCCGCCACCGCCGCAGCTCCGTGGGGGCCCCGGCGGCCGCCCCCGCCGCCCGGCCTCCCTGCCGCTGCCCCGCGGCTGCGGCAGCGGCCGCGCCGCGCGCCGCCGCCCGCGCCCGCGCCCGCGCCCCGATATGGGTCGCGACCCGAATTCGCCAGGGAAGGGGAAGCGCAGGGCGAGAGAAGGGGTGGCGAGAGCGTAAGGGCGCGTGCCACAAGGGCGAAGACAAAAGCAACGCAGAGAAGAGAAGGGGAGCGAGAACGGCGAGGGCAACGCTCACCTCGCCACGCAGCGGAAAGGCCGGCGATGCGCGAAACACGGGGCGCAGGCGTAGAGAAAAACGAGCAAGGAGCTTGGAGATGGAAGGGAATGGGGTGGGAATGCTGAAGGGGCGGAGGGAGGGACGGTAATCGAAAGGACAACCGAAGCTTTGAGGATGGGGAAGGAGACCGCTAACTGGGGAAGATTGGGCGGGTTTTACTTTCCTAACGCGGTGGAATGTGGTGAAATGGACAGATAATGTGAAGGCAAATGTGTGAGAAGATTAAGTAGATTAGAAACTAGGTAACTTCGCCGAGGAACGACATTTTAATTTTACGACGATTGTACTAATACACGTGTGAGAATGTTGGGCGGGAGAATCTGGGTTCACTAAAGAACGGGATGTGAATGGGAAGGTTAAATGGCAGTGAGTGTGAGTTCTGATGTAACGACTTGTGGAATGGAAGAGAGTTGGAATAAGTAGACATAATGCTTTTGTGAAGTCAGTGGGAATGTTGGTACTCAAGAATTGCATATTTTATTGAACGAGGATGATAATCGGTCAAGGATGAGTGTAATCAGAATGTGTAAAT